TTGTTTGCACCGAACAACGTACACTTATTATCAGGGAGCTGTTATCAGGTCGATACAGATGCATCGATGTCCTCACAGCAGTGCTAACCGCCGTTGCTTAGTATCGCTTCCATAAATTGCAATGGAAACGTCTACTTAATGTGTGTTGTACATAGTTTAACAATATGCTTAGAAGCAAACATTTCAATCTCATTTGAAACTGTTGATCTTTGTGGATCCATGTAATAACATAAAGACAAGAGTTGTAAAGCTGCACCTGTCTTAAGCTATGGGAACTAAGTTTGAAAAGGGAATATTAAAGTTTCTTTGACTCCTTTTTTACTAATGAGACTATTTTTTTTAATTTTTTATTAAAATTTCATTACATCTATATATTGTCACGCTCAAAATAACTTTGAGAGTGGCAATGTTTTCGTCTGTCTCAAAATAAGTTCTCTTGAGGTGATGTTTCAACTTCGCGAAGAGAAAAAACCACAGTGACTCAAATCAGGCCAGTCAGGAGGCTCAGGAGCCACATGAATGTTTTTACTGATGTTTGGTCTCACATGAACGGTGGTGTGAGTCAAATTTAACTCTTCCCCGATCATACTGACTATTTTCATCGATGAAGGCCATCCGCTTCGTGGTTCATCTTTAATCGACTCTCACCTTTCTGAAAATGCCTTCAACCACCGAAAAACCTGGGCAAAATACTGTCTCGATTGGCCTGCTAAAGCTAACAAGAGTTTCCGTTGCACTGTGCCCAAGTCTGAAGCAGAACCTGATAGCTCAGCGTTGTCCGAAATTGATGTCACTCATTTTTAGAACACAATAAAAAAAACTGTTTCACAAAAAAAAATCGCTACGGACAACTAAATAACTCGAGAGAGTTCAAACTTGTACTGAAGGCGGATCATATGTTGCCCTGTCTCCCCTCCGAGTCCAGCGCCTCCAGTGTTGCCGGATCAAAGGCTACGTTGCCAGTCTCATTTCTTAACTTACAGACTTCGTATCTGCGAAGAAGTGAGAATTTCCATTTCATAAATTTCAATATTTAAGAGTAAAAGGAGTTTAGTAGCTAGTTTTGCTTACGAATATAAATCTTTAAAGGTATCGAAAACATTTGTATTTTATTGTAGTCTCTTTTACTATAAAAATAAATTAAAAGGAGCGATCTATGTAGAAAAAATACGACGCAATAAATGTCGTTTTGATAGCATAATTGGTTTTTTTTAATAGCAGGGACCGAGCATTGTCTTAACTCTTCCTGGAGCAAATTAAAAGCGGACGGTCGTCAAATTCTGTGACAGGTAAGATGTAATTCTTCCAAACGAGCGTAACGCTGACTGTATAAAATTTAATTTTGGGCCGAATTAACGCATTAATTCCTTTCAGTTTTATAGCGGGGGAGTTAATTAGAAGTTGCATAGTAAAATTCTAGGCAGCCCGCTTTGTGGCCAGATGACTTCATGGTCATTTATATAGTGTTAAAAGTATCAGAAAATAGGGACTCAAGCCAATAAGCAAGAGGAATAGGATAATGGCAGAAATTTTCGATTTCGTGACCGTTTCATATTATGTTTTGTGATCTCTCCAATATGAAACCTCTATTTATCATATAACAATGTATATAGGAACGTTTTAGAAAGTAATAATATGAACATTACTCCAAATTTGAAGGATAAGAACTGATTAATTTTTTAAATATCCGACTCAAAAGTTTCTGTTTTCGAAGTACTAATGTCTCACACTATTTCATTTTATATAAAAAATAATTGTAGAAATCTCCAAAAAATTGATCTTATGAACCTTGAACAGTGCTAAAAATATTGAAACATTATAATGTAATCATCTAGTTTTTTTTTAAATAATTATTTGCAAGATAATAAATCCAAAGTTTCTGTAATATAAAAACACTTTGTTGCCAGGTTAGTGTTTCCATAACTAAACAATTTTTGGAAGACGTTCGCAAATGTCGAGATTACCTAACTCTGTGTTTTGCTTATTCCTTCACAACGTAGAACAAAAGTCCTTAATATGTTGTCCAACATGCTCTTACGTCCAGGTTTCATCCCCTATATTAATAACGATAAACAAAAGCCGTTAGCAGGTGGTAGAACGACATGTGCTTTCAGTATAACGACGAAACGTAGCAGGCATTGCGCGGGAGAATGGAAGCATCATCCAGGAAATGCCTTGCTTTTATTCGAGGTATTCTTTCTAATGGTTGACGGAGGGGTTGTAACGGAATTACGGGGACCGTCTTCACACACGCGGTGACAGGTGTGCCTTTCTGTAAGGGGTTGATTTTGATGGCGTTTGAACATCTGCATTCTGCTGGGTATGAGACGAGAATACTTATACAGTGTGATTCACAAACACGTGGCAATATTTTTAGGACATAAAAAAGATAAAAAATGAATGTTCCGTTACCGAGACACAGAGTGTTTTTATTATAATTAAATCATAAAAATAAAAAAAATATATCTTCGGAGTGGATGAAGATACCGTCTCCAAATTTTGTACTTGTACTAACATCGTAGTGAAAAATTTTCGTGTCTGAGGCTACACCAGTGACTTTGAATTTGAAAATTGTGACCACAACAGACGAGAGAGGAAATTTTTACGCCAGTGACATTTTTGTAACATTCTTTGCGTTTTTGAATGAGGTATACAATTGTACATGAACCTTTGGAGAAATGTTTATTGTTTTTATCGAAGAAAAAGTGCTCGTGTATTTGAGGTGAAATCCGTATAAAAAACACCAACCAGTTTTTGAAAATACTCTGAATTTATTGAAGTTTAAAATTGAAAATTGTATATTGTGAATCAGGAGACTAATTATAACTAACCATACCATTATTAGAACAATGTTCATGTGTTCTTATTCAGCTCATCAGCGACGTAGGAATCTACAATACTTAGTAACCGAATATTTTTAATCAGTATTTACAGGAACTTTTTTTGTTATTTTTGGATGTGCCTACTACTCTGGAAACGTCACCTCGTTTTTGTGTATAGGCTCGTGGATGGATGTTTGTTACACACAATAAAGTCAAATACCACCCTATGAAGTAGTAAATGCACCTGTCAAAATTATTCTAGGGTCGACACGCATCAAAGGATTACTTCCGATGGTTTCTAATTCCATTAAAACATAACAATCCCTTCATGTAACAAGACTCCGTTTTTATATTTCTTTCATTCCTTACCCATAGTTCCGCATTAGATAAATTTTCATTCAAAGGTTTTAAGAATCATAGAGGAATCTAGCATTAGCATATGGTCAGACAGACAAACCAACGTGAATAAGTAACATGATTTCAGAGATGTATATGTTATGAAACATCCAAAAAATGTATTATACCATTTTCCAAAGCGTTCGCGATTACAATATCTCCTCGTCAGTAGGCATAGTGAGTAAGAATATAAAGTTATTCTTCTGTCCTAAGGTTGTTGTCGGTTTCAGAGATTACTTTGTTTGTTAATTCATTATATTATCTAAACTTCTTCAAATGTCTAAATATTTGGAATTCAAGATAATACAGCTACAATTTATACAGAAATGTAAAGAAACTTGATTTCTTATTTTAAGTTTTTCAAGTAAATCACCATCTGTATTATAATGCGATTAATAAAACACCTTTCATATCTCGAAGCATTAATCACCGCAACTTCCTATGCCAGACATCATACCGAATGATGTTTTTCACCTTTTCTGTAGCGTTCAAGGCATTATCTTCCCCTTGTGATTCAATTTCTGTATAATGTATTCGTCTGCTGCAGTCTAAAAAGGCTTTGAGAGTAAAAATTGCTTTTACATATTTATGAGATATAAATAGATTTTCCATAATCGTATGATACTCGAGATTGTGTCGTATTCTCTTGCTTGGGCTCCACAATATTTCGGATGCAACTAAATTATCATCTCATTATCGTAGTAACTGCTAGTTCGAATCCATGTTTGTAATCGATTATTATCCAATGAGAATATCAAGGCCCAGCCTCGAGTACTGCTCACATGTTTGGGGTGCTGCCACTCAGAATGCAATGGCATCAGTGGCAAGAGCTTAGAGGAACAAGTATATTTGTTATATTGGTAGAAAGTACCACATCACCGAAAGCCCATCAATAAGAATGATGGCAACTATCACTGTTAAATTGTTTTTTAATCCTGACAGTTTGATTTTTAAAGCTTAAAAGGATTTATAGTGCTTCAGTGGCGAAGCGTCCATCTAACCATTGTTACCATTGGTAACAGTTAAAAATCTTAATAAATATTTTATGACTAAGTACTGTGAAATAATTTCATTTCTTTGTTTACCAACAGCCCCTAGAAAATAATGCGCCCTATAGTGTCTAGGTTTTGCGAACACGATGAAGCTGACTTTGTTGTCGGGTGTTACCATTTTCATTTATGGATACACTTGGTAGTCCGTCGGGGACTTTCGGTGCCGGATCGTGCCTGATCGCGGTCGCCCGAGTGCGTGGGGCGCTGCGCGACTACTATGTGGGCTTGTTACCATTTTTTGATTTGGTTAATCACTTCTCACTCGTTCGTAGCCGTTTTGGTTACTGGCTGCAGTGTGCGTGCAATTAAACATGGATGAGTATCGCTGCGTAATCGATCAACTACTTGAAAAGTCATTCTCCTTGTATAATTTTTAAGAAGAAAAGGAGATCATTGAAAATGGAAGAACAACACTTATTTTAGATAATTTTAAAAAGGAATAAAAAAACGTAGTTTGATATTTTAAATTAAGTTGGTATATGGAAAGTCTGGTTATGTGGTTGCAAAAAAACAGATTGTATTGTTGGCGATGTCTTCTGTTTTATACAGAAAAAAAAATGGGTGGACCAGCAGCCTAGTCAACGATTTAAATAGTTTTAGGGCTCTAAAGAGAAGACATGAAATTTCTCCGTTACATGTGAGATGTGTAGCCAATTAAATTCAGTTTGGCAAAACAAGAATCGAAAGTTGTCTTAACCAAACTTTTAGGCAGCACACTTCTAGATACCGTATGTTTCTTGGCAAAACAGGAATTACCGTTCATTTTGAAGGGGATGACTCTGACAATAGAGGAAATTACAGGGAATTGTTAACATTCATTGCCAAAAAAGATCAAAAATTTTCCGAACATCCAAAAACGTCGACTGTTTTTTCGGACGGCTTGAATTAGTCATAGCATAAGACGATGAGGTATATCAAGTGCCCCAGACTCTCAGTCCAGGAATGTTTACCTTAATTTATAAATAGTTTAAATAAAATACCTAAGATAAGCAAAAACATATTTGGGAGGATCAAAATAAACTTTTTTTAATAAGATTTTTCACATCTGGTTTAGGAAAAGTCACGCGTCACCACTGTAGTGCTTCCTAGTAGCTTTCCATATTGATTAGATATAACTACGGACATTAAAAAGCTTCCTGATATTAATTTTTATTGTCTTTTTTGCAACTTGTTTTATCGCATTTTTCGACTCGGAAAGGATGCTTATGACTTCATGTTTATTAAGCATGTAGGCGTACATGGAAGTATAAAGTATTACTTAAATTATGCAATGGTTTGATGGCTACAATTAATATCAGGCATAACATTTGAAAAATGTGAAAGCGAAAGCTTCAAATAACATATTAAGAACATCGTACAAAGACATTACATGATTCGATTTCACGTAACATTCAATGGTTGTAACGAAAAACACACATATACTAAGTGACATATAAATCCGAACACCCAGTTTAAATGGTTTTATTTTAATAAAATTTTGTATAAGTACTTAATGAAGCATAATAAGTATATGATAAAAATTTCAAAATGATTGCACTGCTTTGAAGCCCTTTGACCTTTAATAATGTGTGGATGCACCCTGATGTGCTACGCATTCTCCAACGCACCTAGGCATGCTTCTGATCAGGTGGTCAATGTCCTCCTGTGGTATCTCATTCCAGGCAACCACCAACTCCTCTCGAAGTGCTTCTAGAGTCTGAGGAGGACGTTGCAAATTGAGCAATCTCCTACCCATCATATCCCACACGTGCTCAATTGGGGATAAGTCGGGAGATCTTGGTGGCCATGGTAACAATGTGACATCATTATGTTGAAAGAAGTCTATTGTGACTCTTGCAACATGTGGTCGGGCATTATCTTGTTGGAAAGTTGGATCTGCCAGGGTGTCAAGATAGGGTAAAAGATGGGGTTCTAGAACTTCGTGGATATAACGCTGCGCGTTCATGTTACCTCTGATGAAGATTAAAGGTGACCTGGAACCATAAGCTATAGCACCCCAAATCATAACTCCAACAGTGTGATGAACATGTCTTTCAACAAAAAACTGTGGATTCCTCCTTTCACCACGTCGCCTTCTAACCCTGACACGACCATCGTGCATGCCTAAAAAAAATCGAGACTCGTCACTAAAGACAATACTGTTCCATTCCTGATCCTAGAATGACCGTTGTCTGCACCACTCAAGGCGATTACGTCGGTGTTCTCGAGTTAAAGGGAGGACCCAGTGTGGCCGATATGAAAACAAGCCAAAACTTCTCATTCGTCGGTAAACACTTCGCATGCCAATAGGTCTTTCGTGTTCTACAAACCATTTATTTGCAATGGACCTGGTAGTGGAGAAACGGTCCCTTAAGGCCAATAATCTTAGGCGGCGATCTTCACGGTCTGTTGTTCTACGGCGGCGTCCAGTGCCCCTTGCTCTTTGCGTACGGCCTTCTCGAAGCCATGCCTGACAACACCTAACCACAGTGTCTACACTTCTTTGCACTCTACCTGCAATTGCCCGAAAAGAAAGTCCAGCTTCCCGAAGTCCCACTATACGGCCCCTATCAAACTCACTAAGTTGACGAAATCGTACAGGTCTCCGTACTCTAGGCATCGTAACCGATCGTAAAGGATGTCAAGAACCAAAATCCGCCAACGTTGGTTCTTTACTGCGGCTGAAATATTCATTTTTAGAGCTTTAGTGAATTAAAAAAAGCAGTATAAAAACCGGATTGTCCAACTGATAAGGCTGAAAATTTTTTCACTTGTTATTTACTGTAAGATAAATACATTCACCAACTTTTATTAAAATAAAACCATTTAAACTGGGTGTTCGGATTTATATGTCACTTAGTATAATTGATTCAGATCATCACAAGGTAGGATTATTGAGTTTCTTTTAAATTAATCATACTTTGGATAAATTATAGCAGAACTATGCCTGTCTTACCATTTTGTTTCGCTACTTTTTTTGGGTTCGTCTTTGTGTCTTTCAACTTTCTCCTTTAACTAGGTATGTAAAGCAACAGGTTCTATAAAGATTTTGCAGATAGTATGCAAGCAAAAATGAGAATAATGATATATAATATTATGGTTTGCCGACGAATAGTATTTATTTTGTTCACGATTTTGTATGTCCAATTAAAGTCAACATCAACAGTGTGCTTTGGACAAGGAAGATTGAAAACAAACAATTACTCTGATCAACCCTCAACAACCTTCTATGTTCCATGAAATGAAACAGCGACAAATGTCACCATGAGCGTCACATTCTTTACAATGGTAGGCTGCAATTATTAGGGTGCTTTTTCCGACTAATTTCCAGATCCCACATGAAATGTCCATCATTTGTTAATTCGGTAGCTTTCCGAAACTGGAGACGCCGAAAAAAAATCGTCTTTGACTCCATCTCGCACGTCGGAAGCAATGATAAAATAGCATTGAACATGTACGCATGGCGTTGTTGCGCAGAAAAGCAGCTAAAGGCAATCTTTATATTCGGTCATATTTTCTCAGTCACATCTTGTTCCAGTCCAATAGTTGGACAATATTTAATAAGACCCTTTGAGTTACCACCCAGACTAAATGGCCAAAAGTATTTACAATTACCCACCCTGGTGGAAGATCTTCCATTACAAACACGCAATAATATGTGGTTTATGCACGACGGCGCTCCACCTTAGATAGCACCTAAGTAGAGTGTATCCAGACCAGTGGATAGGCCGATCAGGATCTGTATCGTGGTGGGCTAGATCACCAGATTTAAGTCCTATGGATTTCTTCTTCTGGGGCGATTTAAAACGACGCGCTTACAATACGTCAGTGGAAACTGTAGATGATCTTCGACAAAGAATTTTCCACCATAGTCAGGAAATAAAAAATAACATCCAAATGCTATGGAGAGTGCAGCAAGGATTAGTTCGTCGAGCTCGAGAGTGTGTTAGGTAAGGTAAAATTGTAACTTTGACACCCTGTATCTCGCAAACTATCAACTTTTGGACTAAGGTATGCTTAGGTCAATTCACATATTTTGGTCTGTAGCACCGCCAGTTTCGAGATTTCCCAATCTTCCGTAGACACCTTGTATAGACAAAAACTTCAGTTTCAGGGGGCTACAGGCCAAGCGGCTCGAACAATTTTAACATACGAGCTGTTCTTGATTCTGATCTTGATCTCATTTTTACGTACGAGATGTTTCTAGAAATCTATTCACAGCGCAAGTGAGATGGTATACCAAATATTCGTAAAATCAAGATAGCCGATTTTAAACTTCAACCTTGGAATTTCCATTTCTAGGTTTATAGCCCAAACGGCTTGATGGATTTTGATATCTGAGGTGACGTGAGATTGACCACGACTGCACAATTAAAAATTCACTTTTCCAGTTAGTGCAGTAGAGCTTCTTGTATTTAAGTTTACTTGTTCAGAAATGCACATTGATTTGCTTAAAACTCAACAAACAATGAACATCATGTTATATCAGTATTCTTCTCTTGGAGGGGTCTATCTGAAAATGCAACAATACTCGTATGTGGGACATTCCGATTAAAAAATCGATAAATATTGACATGTTACAATATGACGCCCAACGGAATTTTCAAGCGGTACTAAAATATAGTAATCGTGCATTACTTTCATCACTCCGAATTTCCGTCTAACTTGACCCATTCGAAAAATTCATAGGGGAGGGGTACTTTCTTAATAGCAGTATATAATCATCCATGCAGTATTCTACTACTACGAGTAGCAATTAATCCAAAATTACACACATCATGCTAGTGAAATGCGGGTTGTGGTAATTTAGTCAAATATCAGCAAAACGCCTGTTGCGCTATTTCTCCAATCATCAGTGACACTCACGGCATCTGGGCTATCCGAAAAGGGCAGTACCTGCAGTCGAAACTACCATATTGCGATTTCTTACGTAATAAGCACGCAGCGGATCTTGTTTCTTGGTAATGGTAGAAAACACTAGCTATTCCAGTCCATATCCGGGAAACATGAAATGGAAATCATCATGCTCTTCGGTGCCAAGAGAGAAAAATCGTTCCTGGATTTTCCAATTGCAGACTGCCGAAGTATAGATAGTCGTATAATGGTCGCTACCAGGAGACAAATTCTTAAAAAGTTACGCCACTGTGCCAACCCCACAACACAAACCTACGACAATCTACCGAAACCCACCATCAGAGCGAATAAAGAACATCAGGGGACAGCCGCTCTTGGAGCTCGTTACCGAACGACGCACACGCGTCATCGTAATGCCCTTTTTTTCTGTTACCCAATCAAATAGCGATATATCTTCGGGGTACGATGGGCGGCTGGCTGGAGGTCCCTCGACGGACGTTCAGGGCCCTACATTTTCCTCGCTTTAATTTAATTTCTTTGTAATTCGGCAAGTGGGAGACTGGCTGATTGAATTAAAGAAAATATAAAGGAGTACTCCCAACTCCCCAAGTACACCAACACCGCAGGACCGGCCTTGTTGGTTTCTGGTCTCAATATTGGACGCTTTTTAAACAGTAATTCTGTTATTACATACAATGCTGGTTTCCCGTTTTTTTTAAATTGCATAGATTATGAATCTGTTATCTGTGATTGACGGGAGAAACCAAAAGTTTCATTTTCCTACTCCAAACAAAGCTTTTTAGGTCTTAAAAATTTTTTGTTGACCATATTCAAAGTCAGTAACACCAGATTATCCAAGTGTCTCGCCGAGGTTCGTTCACTTGTAGCGAAAATTAAATTTTTGAAGGATTAAATGCATTCTAT